ATGTGTTCCGGGTAATGATGGCGTGAATGTTATGCGTCACCTATGTTACAGGTTTTGTAAGTGAGTTAATTAACAAAACCGATGCATTAGCTGTATTTTAATCTCTTTGTCAAGTCTTCATCTCACAATGAACAACGGACGCATTCGGGCGGAATTTATCGCTCATATTTTTAATGTTGGCAGTCTACAAGTCGACTTGATGTTTCTGCAAATACGCACAACGCCATGTGGAATTGACATCCATGTCTTCAAATGACACTCAGACTGGACAGAATGATTCTCCTTGGTCTGAGTTACCCCATGCCATAAAGTCCACATAAAAAAACACCTGTTTGTTGAAAGAGGTGACTCTGAATTGAAATGTTAACCCATTTGACATAATAAGGGTAGCCTTGTGGATACAGCGTTCGCTGAAACCCGACTTCATTTCCCCATGTGTGTTTTATGTATGAAGCCTATTTCTACTGTCGCCGCCGTGATATTGCTGAAATGTTCTCCAAAAACAAACCTGACTTGCTTTTATGATGGTTGGATATTTCTCATTGTTTGGCAACGATAGCTACTGAGAGATCTTTAGCTTCCTCCTGATCGCGTGAACTAACATAAAACAAAGGGTTCCATTAGGCATATGGGAAATCGATACATCTGCGAGTCTAGATGGCAAGGATCAATAATATAGTGGTAATTATTTATGTGGAATGTACTTAACTGTAAACACATTCATTACTGTCAGAACAATATCCTCCAGATTACCTGATGACAGCTCAATATTCACAGCTGAAGCTCATGCAATACTAACAGCTCTTAGAAATATTAATAGACATCCTAAATATAAACAATATATAATCTTTTCCGACTCTCTGTCTTGCCTATAGGCTATTAAAAATCTTTCTTGTAAACATCCACTTTTAATTGAGATTTTTAAACTATATAATGATCTTGCTACTGGCCAATACGACATCGTCCTGTGTTGGTTATCCAGCCACTTTGGCATTTCTGGGAATACAATGGCAGCACTCAATGAATCTGTGGCACCACTTCTTATCCCATTCTCTGATCACAAAGCTAGCATTAGAACCTACATCCGTGATCTGATGCAAAAGAAGTGGGACACCCAAGTAGGTATCAATGAATTACATGAAATAAAACCTTATATTGCTTACACCTACTTGGGTTGTCAGTCCAGATTTGAGGAGGTCATCATGCGATGTCGCATTGGCCATACGCGTTATATTCACAAATGTCTGTTAAAAGGTGAAGATTTTTCGTTTTGTATCCCTTGTGATGAGAGAGTAACAGTCAAACATCTCCTGCTTGACTGTGTTGAATTCTCCATCATAAGGGATAAATATTTCAATGTTAAAACTGTTCAGGATATTTTTAATACTGTTCATTTTCATTTAATTCTTGTTTTTTTAAACGAACTTGATTTACTTAATGCATTTTGATTAATATGTTCTGTAGATAGATGTATTTTAATGATATGTAGTTTAGATTAGTAACTTAGATTGTCAGGGGCTGTACCTTTTTGGAGGGTTAAAGTACTATAAAATTATTGTCCTCCTGAGAGGACATGTAAGTCCCAAAACATTCAAAGTAAATTTAAACCTACTGCCATTTTAATAGTAGAATATATGTTCGTTTAGTTTGAGGGTAGATTACCTAAAATTGGTAATAGCTGAAGGGATGGTGTAAATCCAACTAGGGTCCATGCAGGAAGCAAATGTACTGTAAGTCCCCATGGTCCCTAGTATGGTGATCTACCTTCAGTAGTTGGCAGTATATGGCCTGTTTTCACCTTGTAATGCGTCTATAGTTAAACTCTTTTAGATTTAATTACTACTTTTAAATTCGAATCTGTGATAGACTGCTTATTTTACTGTCCTTCGTTGATAGGTTTTTACAATTTACCATAAATTAATTGTTCTCGTCACTGCCGATGTGACTTTAAATTTTAACTCACTCACTCGCTCACTTACTTACCATGATCTTTTAAACGTGGTATTTGAATGATATTAATTTTGGCTAAATTTCCCTACAATCGCCAGCGACCGAAGGGATGCTGTAAAACAACTAGGGTATATGCAGGTGGCAAAGTTACTGTAAGTCCCCATGTTCCCTAGTATGGTCCATGGTCCCTGGTATGGTGATCTACCTTCAATTTTTATACTGTCTTGTTTTTCCATTATAGTTAAAAGGTTTAAGATTTAATTACTAGTTTTACATACATAACTGTGATATTCTAGTTGTTTTACTGTCCTTCGTCGGCAGGTTTTTTTATAATATACATATATTTCATTTCAATATCAAATGTTCTCGTCACGATATGGCTGAAATATTGCCGATGTGACGTTAAATATTAACTCACTCATTCACTCACTCCCTAGTATGGTGATCTACCTTTAGTTATTGGCGATCTGTAGCCTGTTTTTATATTGTATTGTCCTCTATAGTTAACCTGTTTTAGACAGTGTAGTTGTTTTACTGTCCTTCGTTAACAGGTGTTTTTAATTGAATTTTAATCATTATAAACCAATAACTTCATTTAGTCACGATATGGCTGAAATATGTTTTATGTGAAATAAAATCTTAATTCACTCACTCGCTCATGTAGGTTATATTCCTGTCGTGTTTGAGGAACGATCGCACCTGCTCTTTCAACTTATATTTCACAGTTTCACACGATGCTTATCATCCTCGATATTTTAGACCATTACAGTAATCTTTCTACTGTCCAATGTGACATCATCCTTTATTGGTTACCGGGTACAAGTGCTGCAGCTAAATCAGCTCTTGACAAACCGTTATCCTCACTGATATCCCATATGGTGATTTCAAATTCACCTTCAAAAATTATACTCGGGACCTTATGCAAAGAAAGATCTGACACCCGGGTATGAAGAAATAAACTTCATAAATTAAATCGGTTATACAGTGAAACCTGTCTAAACCGGCACCCCACAGAACCAAAATAAAATGCCGGGTTAGACAGGGTGACGGATTAGACAGTCACGATCATTTTCCAAAATGGCCCCCGACCGCGTCATACCAAAAGACGTTAAAATAAGGTACTCTGGCGCCCTGCATTAATGGGTACAACAAGAACTGATCGGCTCGGAGTCAATATACTATGTCTGAGTTTGGTATTCATGCTTCACTGCAGCATGGTATCTCAGTGGGCTAGCACTATAAAACCAGCTTTAGTCTGGGCTAGTACAAGCAGCCGCACCTACACATACACACCCATGCACGTCGTCATATGAGCGAAATATTCTCCAGCGCGACTTTAAACACAATTTCACCTCACCTCCAACATGGCTGCCATTTGCACTCGTCAGTCTCTTTATCTCTATAATGCCTGATGACTCACAAGGGGTCACTGCCTATTTATTTACCGGATTAGACAATGTTTTAATGATCACAACATCGGTTTACTCATGACTATCTGCTGAAAACGGATGGAGATCGACCTCCCATGTGTGTCTCTTGTGATGGAGTGTTTACCGTCAAGCACATTCTGCTTGACTGTGTGGACTTTTCGACTGCAAGGTATTCACACTATGAAGCGGGAAATCTGACAGATCTATTTTTATTATTGTTAACTCATTGTTAACTACTTGAGGGAAGTTGACTTGTACCATAAATTGTAACACTGTAAAACACTGTAAAATGACATATTTCATGTTTTTAAAATTGGTGATATGACATTTTCTGTTAGTCAATAACAATAAATGAACAAATACGGGTTTTTTAAATCTAAAATCATTTAAGCTTGTATATATGTATGTATATATGAATGTGTATGTGTGTGTATGTGTGTGTATGTGTGTGTGTGTGTATGTATGTGTGTTTGTATGTATGTATGTATGTATGTATGTATGTATGTATGTGTGTGTGTGTGTGTGTGTGTGTGTTTGTAAGTATGTCTGTAGGTGTGTATGTCTGTATGTGTGTGTATGTTTGTATGTGTGTATGTATGTATGTGTGTGTGGGTATGTATGTATGTATGTGTATATGTATGTATGTATGTGTGTATGCGTGTATGCGTGTATGTATGTATGTATGTATGGATGGATGGATGGATGGATGTGTGTATTTATGTATGCATGTGTGTGTGTGTGTGTATGTATGTGTGTGTGTGTGTGTGTATGTATGTGTGTATGTATGTATGTATGTATGCAGACTTGGTCTCGTCGCTATAAGGCTGAAATAACGCAGCTGCGACGTAAGACTCATCTCAACTCAAGAAACAAGATATGGATCTAAACATTTTGGTAACAATCAGTCCTATATATGGTCAAGACAACAGGGACGACAGATTTCATGAGCATTCAAAATATGCTAACATTTTCAAGAAACTTCAGTTTTATCATGGAGAATCAAAGCCAATCAAATTTGTTTGACCCTGAATAAATCCTTGCATACCATGCATATGCACAAGGCGTCAGTATGTAGACTCTATGGATGTAAGACTGCCTTATTTTGTAACGAGTACAATGTTTGCATGCAATGGATTGAAGATGGAGGTTAACAAGTTTGAAGAAAGTGAGCATTTATAAAAGTTTAGAAGACTTTGTATACAGGGTATAAATAACTGGCAGTTTCTGCTTGACTGTGGATTTTCCAAATGCAATGGACTCACATTATGAAGCAATACATCTGAAGGATCTGTTTTCTGCAGACTTGATCTCGTCGCTATATGGCTGGAATAGTACTGATGCACTTGAACTCACTCACTCTTACGACAGGCATGGATTGCTGAAGATCAATACCAAATGTGATTCTACGGGATAAAGTCGTATTGTGGGAGTCGAGCGTCACATGGCTGTACTATTCTATGTTACCCGACAGACAGCAAGGGCAAACACCTACACGTGATGTAATATAAGTCACGTCGGCGTTATGTCAGCCAGATTGTGAAGAGACCTTTAGAACCTCACCAATGAGTAATATATCTGCAGAGGATGACTTTAATAATCAAAAATGTCTTACAACCAGAAACAATGTGTTATGATACCTAGATATGTCTCAATAATTAATACATGTGTACCGATACTTTGTAAATCCCTCCGGATATCGCAGAATATCTCTTTCAGGATCGATATTCTAAATGTCACTCCAAAATTGTATTGGAGAGAACCATACAGATCGACTGTAAGTGGGCGAAAGCATTCTGTGTTAACTTAATTGACGGGTTTTCATATCAAGCCACTGGTTTGCTAAATGCCGTGACCTTTTCCTGTCGACATCCACTGAAATAAATTATGGGTCAGAATTGTCCACGATGTCTGTGCAAATCAAGTGGTGATTCAACCAAGAAGGCCAGTTGTCGCCACTTTCTATAGACTTCAATCGGCATAATCGCTTGAGGTGCTGCCGCAGGGTCTGGAACTAGAACCTTAGAAATTGGATCAGAGATGAATCACGATTTCTCTTCACCGGCGGCATGGGAGACAGCGTGTTTACCGTCGGAGAAATCAATTGCCCATAATTGCCTTTGACAGGTCGACAAACTCGGTGGAGACAGTGTCATGGTGTGGAGTGAAATATTTTAAACACACAAAGATCTGATTTAGTGGTGGTTAAGGGGAATTTCACAACAAAATGGTACATCAGCGAAACCCTTGCAGGTCATATGCTTCCGATTATGAACCAACAGAGAAAGTTGTTCCAACATGACAACGCTCGTTCACATACAGCACGCGTCACGGTACGCTACCTTGACAACGTCAACGTCGAAACACGCCTCAGGCAGTTCCACAAGTGGCCATCACATTGCGTGGATGGGAGAACATGATGTCAATTCTATCATTGTCAGAACCATCTGGCGTGAGCATGAGAAATGTTGCAATCTCATCTTAACATTGACGAGGGTAAACAAAAGACCACAACGAAAAATCTCAGATTAGATATATAGCTGAATTGGCGTGTTTCACTTTCCTCAACACATTCCCTTCCCGATTGTGAATTCATGTAGGGCAGTAAGTCCATCAAACTCTATATGTCGGATACCACTCAGGGGGAAGCGGATTGGGTTCGTCATCCACAGAGTTCCATCAACGTAAGTCTGGAATATATAGTACCATATTAACAAAATGAAAGTATGGAAATCACGGGTTGATCTAATGACTTATCTCACACGTTAACATAGTATATATCAGTATCCAGCACACAAACAAAAACTTCACCTAGAAAGACGTATGTCGTTCAACACTGCATGCAGTAACATGTCTAGATCAACACTCCGCTCAGTCACACCCACTTCTACTCGGTGACTGAGGACAACCAACCTACCAGGAGAGACGTGTAGATCAACACTCAACTGTCACACCCTCTTCTACTCGGTGACTGAGGACAACCAACCTACCAGGAGACACATGTGTAAATCAACACTCAACCGAGTCACACCAACTTCTACTCGGTGACTGAGGACAACCAACCTACCAGGAGAGAGATGTGTAAATCAACACTCAACCGAGTCACACCAACTTCTACTCGGTGACTGAGCACAACCAACCTACCAGGAGAGGCATGTCTAGATCAACACTCCGCTCAGTCACACCCACTTCTACTCGGTGACTGAGGACAACCAACCTACCAGGAGAGAGATGTGTAAATCAACACTCAACCCAGTCACACCAACTTCTACTCGGTGACTCAGGACAACCAACCTACCAGGAGAGACGTGTAGATCAACACTCAACTGTCACACCCTCTTCTACCCGGTGACTGAGGACAACCAACCTACCAGGAGAGACATGTGCAGATCAACACTCAGCTCAGTCACACCCACTTCTACTCGGTGACTGAGGACAACCAACCTACCAGGAGAGACATGTGCAGATCAACACTCAGCTCAGTCACACCCTCTTCTACTCGGTGACTCAGTACAACCAACCTACCAGGAGACACATATCTAGATCAACACTCAACTCAGTCACACCCACTTCTACTCGGTGACATCATAAGGGATACATATGTCAATGTAAAAACAATGAAGGTTCTTTTTACCACTGTTAATTGTCATTTAATTATTGGTTTCTTAAAAGAAATTGATTTATTTGATGAATTTTGATTAATGTGTTTTGTAAATAGATCTATTTTAAAGATAGCTAATTTAGATTAGTAACTTAGATTGTTCGTGACTTTACCCTCAAAGGGGATTAAAGTACTGTAAAATTATTGTCCTTCTGAGAGGGTACGTAGGTCTCAAAACATTTCAAAGTAAAATGTAAATTTACCAAATTTTAAACGTAGTATCTTTGTTCTTTTAAGTGTCGGCTAAATGTTCCTTCTATCGCCAGCGGCTGAAGGGATGGTGTAGATCCAGCTTGGGTCCATGCTAGTAGCAAAAGTAATGTAAGTCCCCATGGTTCCTAGTATGGTGATCTATCTTTAGTTTTTGGTGATCTATAGCCCGTTTTTTATACTGTATTGTCCTCTTTAATTTGAATGTTTTAGATTTGCTCTCTAGTTTTATAGTCATAGCTGTGGTTCTCTAGTGTTTTACTGTCCATCGTTGACAGGTTTTATTCTTCAAAGTAGTTTCACTATTTATTGTATAAATTGTTTACTATATGGCTGAGATATTGCCGATGTGACGTTAAATATTAACTCACTCACTCACACTACTCAGTGACCCAGGACAACCAACCTACCAGGAGACACATGTCTAGATCAACACTCCGCTCAGTCACACCCTCTTCTACTCAGTGACCCAGGACAACCAACCTACGAGGGGAGACATTTGTAAATTAACACTCACAGTCACACCCACTTCTACTCAGTGACCCAGGACAACCAACCTACCAGGGGAGACCTGTATAAGACAACACTCAACTCAGTCACTCCCACTTCTACTCAGAAAAGACCCGTGAAGATCCGGGGTAGAATAGGTCTTTAGCAACCCATGTGCTTGCCATAAAAAGGCGACTATCTTGTCGTAAGAGGCGACTAACGGGATCGGGTGGTCAGTTTCGCTGACTTGGTTGACACATGTCATCGGTTCCCAATTGCGCAGATCGATGCTCATGCTGTTGATCACTGGATTGTCTGGTCCAGACTCGATTATTTACAGACCGCCGGCGTATAGCTGGAATATTGCTGAGTGTGGCGTAAAACTAAACTCACTCACTCATTCACTCACTCTACTCAGAAAAGGGGCGGTGGGGTAGCCTGATGGTTAAAGCGTTCGCTCGTCACGCCGAAGACCCGGGTTCGATTCCCCACATGGGTACAATGTGTGAAGCTCATTTCTTGTGTCCCCCGCCATGATATTGCTGGAATGTTGCTAAAAGCGGCGTAAAACCAAACTCACTCACTCTACTCAGGAAAAAACTCAACCTACCAGGAGAGACATGTGTAGATCAACACTCAACCCAGTCAAACCCTCTTACTGACTAAGGACAATCAACCTACCAGGAGAGACATGTGTAGATCAACAATCAACCCAATCAAACCCTCTTTATGACTAAGGACAATCAACCTACCAGGAGAGACATGTGTAGATCAACACTCAACCCAGTCAAACCCTCTTAGTGACTAAGGACAATCAACCTACCAGGAGAGACATGTGTAGATCAACACTCAACCCAGTCAAACCCTCTTAGTGACTAAGGACAATCAACCTACCAGGAGAGACATGTGTAGATCAACACTCAACCCAGTCAAACCCTCTTTATGACTAAGGACCATCAACCTACCAGGAGAGACATGTGTAGATCAACACTCAACCCAGTCAAACCCTCTTCGTGACTGAGGACAATCAACCTACCAGGAGAGACATGTGTAGATCAACACTCAACCCAGTCAAACCCTCTTAGTGACTAAGGACAATCAACCTACCAGGAGAGACATGTGTCGATCAACACTCAACCCAGTCAAACCCTCTTAGTGACTAAGGACAATCAACTTACCAGGAGAGACATGTGTAGATCAACACTCAACTCAGTCACGCCCTCTTGTACTGAGTAACGCACGATAAGAAACCTACCAGGAAAGACGTCTCTGTTATGATTATCTCTACCACGTTGTTGTCGGAGATGTCTGCTGTGAAGTCGGTCCGAAACTCATCACCCCAAATGTTTGCTTGACGTGTGTTGAAGATAATCTTAAATTCCCCAACTGTGGGCCAATCCCATCTCAGTGACAACAGGTAGACCACATCCTGATTGGGATGCATCAGCCATACGTGGTTACTGCAGTGTAAAAGTACTTAGTTACATGTCTGGGGAGAGGCGGTCGATGGTGGGTGCAGTGTAAGGATGTGTGCTCTGTTCTACGACACAAATACATTTGGTTTCCCAATCTATAACGGTTACTGACAAAATCGGTTCCCATTGGGGATACCGTGCAAAAAGTAAAGAAACGCATCACAAGGGTCATATCTCTGTAACAAATTTTAACACGGTTTCCGTGTTCGAACTCGATCAAGGCAGTTGTGTCCTGAAAACAACTACCAAATTTGATTTCCCTATCTATAAGGTGTTTTGAGAATATCTGTCCCCATCATCTCGGACGGACGGAGCTAAAAATATATCCCCCTCCCACTTCGTTGTATTGTTCACACAATACACTTACTGCCACGTATAGCTCAATGATGGCTGATGTTTCGTCAAGCAGTTATTTCTCACTGACTTACAAGTGTGTTCGGGATCCAGACATTCTGAGCTTCAGTGTCATTCCAACAGTGATATCAAACTCCAGATCTTCTGTTACAGATGTTCATGGATCCTGAATTTATTACTGAATGGTTAATGTAATAATCGTGACGTCAAATACACGCTAGGAATTGTTGGTGAAAATTACCAAATAGTTTGTTAATAAGGGTATGATGAAATGTTATGCTTAGTTCAATGATTTCTGTGCAAAACAAAATCTGACATAACATTGCATGTGGCAACACCGTCTTCAAATTAGATCACCGGCTATTTAGGCACATGTCATTCACAAGGTCGGCTATAATGTGATAATCTCAATGATCAATTCATTTCTTCTATAAAATATATGACTACAAGATTTCTGCTATTTATTTTTGTAATGGGATTACTTGACAACGTTCTGTTTTGTATTATCGTACTCGTCCCCCAGAGTCAGTACACGATGTTGCACTACGAACAGTTGCTTCTTTTACTACCCTTGCTAACGTTAGCCTATTGTGTATTGGATCCACACTAAAACACTTTTACGCACGTATAGAATGCAGTTTTGGATTGGCTTATTGTGCGAACATTGATCGAAAAGCAGACACTACGTGCTTGGCTTACAACATGAGACTAAGTTTGATTGTAATCAACCATGCGAGTTTTTAATCACTGTAAACATAACCAACAAGTGGAGCGTTATAATGAGACTCTTGACTATGTCCTTGTAACCGTAAACAACAGCAGTGTTAATTTCTGTGTCTCTTGTAAAAAATGTAATCATTGTCTTGCGTCGTTTCTGTTTAGATGCAGGAGATGGTTTTTATATTGCCAATGCTAATCTGGAAGCTTCACAAACAGGCAGACTAATTCAGCATATAGCCTTTCACAGTAATTTACACTTCTTAACCTGGCGTTATTGTCATTACCACTGCTATTACGGTCTACACCGCCATTGTAAGTATAATGTGATTAAAATTGTACTGTAATTATTGGGTTCTTATGAACATGTAGGCAGGATATACACTGTTGACATTTCTTGAACTATTGAATACATGTTGTACAATACCTGCACAATTAATTCTAACAAGTCACAAATACCTCTTCCCTAGGTAGACTTGTGAGCTGTCGTATGCTTTCTGTAGCTCATATTTACATGTAAGGACCGATTTACCAAAGTTAGACAATTACACAGTTCCCACAATCTTTTGTCTCGGTGAGGCTTTTTGTCACTTTCATTTTAACTTTTAATCAGGTTATGAGCATTAAATATAATGTTAAATGTTTTTAACTTCTTCCATGTTTTGGCTCCGTTGACAAAGGTCACAGAATTTTACTTCACTGAAAATAGTATTTATGTATAATGATGGCATATCTTACCATTGACTGCTGGGTGGTGCCATTGTAACAAGGAACGCACTTTATTTTCACCGTTTTCCACGATGCTCCTCTCGAACAGGAAGAGTTGTTGCTGTCGACAGTAAAGTAGCTGGAGTTGCAGATGTCCCCTATGTCAGTGGCAATGACATCCACGTTCTCCTGACTGTTCGCCAATCTGTAGTTATCGCATGCAACATGTGTGTAAGTAATAACTGATATATGTACTCTGTATCCACAGATGACATTTTGAGAACTAATTTGTGTTCTCTACACCAATGTAAACGTTGCTGTTAAAAGTATAAAAAGCAACAACTGATATATTTGACATAACACCTTTTCAGGAAGGTCCACTATTTAGTGCTTGTTAGATTGTGTCCTATCCGGAATTCGAACCCACACTGTCAGGCTGAGGAATCCAGAATCTATCACAACATGGTAATTGTGGTAACAGGGGCGTCCGTGGTTGAATAAACTTCATCTCAAATTAAATCTATAACTCTCATCAAAGTCAATTGCTGCTAATTTCGTCACAATTGCCTTCCATAATATCGACTACTTTTCATCCAAGTGTCCATTGTTAATTGAACTCAAGGAACTGATGGTTGAATGTGATGTCCCGGACTATTTCCCTGCGTTTGTTGACTCGATGTGTATTTTTTATACTTACAACTAGACACCATGCCACACTGATGCTGTTTCATGTAGTAATTCGCTGTTACCTTTGCTTGACATTTTCTACTAATAATTATTAACGATTGACTGAGTAAAACGGCTTGATCTAAACCAGAACTTGAATATAGTAAGGTTACAATGCAGGGTGCCGTTCCACTAACCGATCTTATCTAAGATTAATCTTAGCAAGTTACGCCAATTTTACGATCGTTTTAGCTAAAAGTTACACCCGTTCCACTACCCGATCTTAGGCCGATCACAATGTGTGAAGCCCATTTCTGATGTCCCCCGCCGTGATGTTGCTGCAATATTGCTAAAAGCGGCGTAAAACTAAACTCAGTCAGTCAGTCAGTCTTAGGCCGATCGTAGCCGGTCCCGATCTTACGATCCGATCCAAGCTTAGATCGAGACTCTTTCGTGCGAGAGATAGAGAAATGCGAGGCACGAGTTATCTCCCTGTGCATAGTCTAGCAAATGATGGAAGTAGTTTACGAACCAACTGAGTGAGTGAGTGAGTTTAGATTTACGCCGCACTCAGCAATAGTCAAGCTATATCGCGGCGGTCTGTAAATAATCTAGCTAAGATGCATAGCGTTCACTAACATGAGCGTTCATGTACAGTGATCAACAGCATGAGCATCGATCTGCGCATTTGGGAACCGATGACATGTGTCAACCAAGTCAGCAAGCCTGACCGACCGATCCCGTTAGTGGCCTCTTACGTTCAATATTCTAATCCGGGCCTTCATGGGTATTTTTCCAACCAAGTGTAAACGTGGAGAAAAAACCTAGAGCAAAATATTAGGGTAGTGAGCACCTTGGTTTCAGGTGCAAGTGCGTGTGAACGCTGGGTATCAGGCATAATATGATAATAATAAATGCATATTTATAGTGCGCCTATTCCACATCCTGGGGCATGCTCAAAGCGCTATGTACAGATAATTTACACGAGAGTATTTACAGCCGAGATTATAAGTAATATACTGAGAACAGGTTTTAAGTCTGAACTTTAAAAATGTCAATTGTGTCAGAGCTTTTAATATGTGCCTGAACCTTGTCAATCAGAATAAACAAGCCGTGAGGAGGCTATAACGTATGTAGAATCTGTCAGTGGTCTTGAATAACACGCGGCCTGCCTTTAGAATCCCCCCACCAAATATGCGCAGTGAAATCAAACATATTTGTATCTTTTTGCTTCAGAACATTGATCACTTCACGGCTGTCCCTATTCTTAACCATGACGTTGCAATATTGTTGTACAAATGTGTTACACCGACTCGTTCGGTTGTGTTCCCATGACGACATTGGTCAGACTGGCCTGACATTTGTTAGGCTTCAGTGCAGTGTTTGTTTACATCACAGAAATATACAAATTCATTTCATGGGGGGATTTTAGGATACGCTCACGGTGAAATGCTCGCTCTTATTTTTCACATAGAATAGGAAAGCCACCATTTTGGTTTCTCTACGATTGTTTTTAGCTATCCTAAGTTAGTCATGAATCTTAACTTTACCATTGACTTGGGTAAGATTGGTTAGTGGAATGGTATGCCGATCGTAACGTCACGATAAGATTGGGATTTTAGGGGTTTACGATTGGCATAGGGCTAAGATCGGTTAGTGGAACGGCACCCAGGACATTAGCTGACAGACACATCCGAGATGTCGGAATGACGGACTAGACACACATCAGATATATTTCCTACAGTAGTGGATTTGCTGCGCCGGCAAGATATATTTTAAAATCAATAGTTTGCATAGGGCATGCTTTGGTACCCCCCAGCAGAAACCACACAGCCTGTGTAGATTGAGTGAGTGTATAAGTTAAACTTTAAAGTCACATCGTCAAAATTTCAGCCATATCGTGACTAAAGCAAGTTTAAAACCTGTCATCGAAGGACAGTAAAACCGACTAGAATATCACAGTATCAAGAAATAAAACTAGCATATCTCTCTAAAATTGGATTTTAGATTAGGACAATAAAGCATAAAAATGGGGCTGTATATCGCCAACAACTGAAGGTAGATCACCATACCAGGGACCAGTGTAGATTGAGAGTTACAAGTTTGCTTCAATATGGCCGCCAAGGCAGCCATTTGTATATTCGCCCATTACTCATTTGATCTCTTGTTTGCGTTAATTCATATTTTGTTTTGGCTATTTGGAAAATGCATTTCCACACAATATCAGTTTCTTTGAACCAATGAAACCAGTGCTGCTGAAACGGATATAAGGGAACAGTGACACTGCACTATGTACATTTCTTTCTACATATCACAAGTGCAGAGTGGGCTGGCGTGTATGACTGAAGCGTAGGAATAGCCTTGGTACCTGGACGTCTGGTAATAATGTTATTTACAATGTAAGAGTCTGTGGCCTGACGCAACACGCCATAAATGGCAGTTTGTGAGGAAACAAGACTATGAGGTGAGGTGAGGTGAAATTGGGTTTAACGTCGTGCTTAAGAATATTTCGCTCATATGACGACGTGCATGCGTGTGTATGTGTATGTGCGGCTCCTTGTACTAGCCCAGACTTAAGCTGGTTTTATAGTGCTAGCCTACTGAGATACCATGCCGCAGTGACGCATGAATACCCATCTTAGACACATTATACTGACTCCGAGCCGACCAGTCCTTGTTGTACCCATTAATGCCGAGCGCCAGGCAGGGACCAACAAGTACCATATTGTAACGTCTTTTGGTATGACGCGGTCGGGGATCGAACCCGCGACCTTCCGCTGTCCTGACAGACGCTGTAACCACTACATTACGGAGGCGGTCACAAGAATATGAGTTGGTCTACACGTTGAGTGAATCAGGAAGAAAACATGTTGTTAAATCTACAAAATCTCATCATACACACAATGCAACATATGTTCGCCAAAAGTCAAAGCCGATGCCAACACAAATATATCTTGCACCCTAAATGTAGATCACCGCATGCTTCCTTGTACTGCAAAGACGGTGTGACTTATGTATGAGAATAAAATATAATGGTAATTCATATACATATGGAGCA